GAATGATTCCACATACGCCGAATTGTTGGACAAATAAAAAGTTATAATTTACATGTTTTTGTCTGTATACAGGAAAGTCAGGAATTTTTAGCCATATAAGTGACTATTATCCCTTCAAGATTGATTTTGCATCTTGTGTTGGTCAGTCGATTAGTTAGATTGTTACAGATATTTGGAACTAATTTGGGAAAAATCTCGAGCTATCACATAAAGTTCAAACGAAAAACTAGAGGCCTCCTAAGACAATTTTGCTTTTTTTTACGAAACATTATTATTTTCTATACGTGTTAGTTTACCCTGCAAGCTCTGTCGTCTATAGTGACTTCCCATCATCGACTTAACACGTTCAGCCTTATTGTCGCTGAAGAACTACAGCATGTCTCCGCTTCCTGCGATAGGAGCTGCATGTTTCTGTGAACTTCCAAAATATCTGTACTTTGATGGTAACGTTTTATAATATCTTATATCTAAAAGTGCAGTTAATTGTTACAAAAGAGGGAAATAAGAACATTTGTAGGATTTGAGGTTTATCGACGTTTCAGAGGTCCTTGCTACACCTCCATTATCTTTACGATGACTACACTGCGCAACAACCCAGAAAAGAGACATCAACAAAGACATTTCCTATAGAATGGTTCTTACATAATATGTTAACCTATAAGAAATGCAAGAAATTTTACGAGGTGTAAGACTAGCTCAAAAATGTCTCTGCTGCATGGAATCAGTTAGTTAGGAAAAGTGGTGATAATGACAGAACCGATTAAGACGTGTGTGTCCATTAACTGCGTGTATACACTCAGGGCAGGCCCCCCCCCCCCCCAAGCCACAGAGCACGTGGAAGTGTCCACTTGTTTCTAATATTCAGCTCAAATAAAACAGGTGACAGAAAGAAGCTTCAGTTTTCTTGAAAAGAGTTTGGAACACTGAAATATGAGAACAGAAAATGTGATAGAATTTATTTAAAATACTTGCATTGTGTTTATTATTTTCTTATATCTGTTACGTATCCCCTGATATACTTAAACCATCTCCATAAAATGTGTTGTTAGGTTAGGTTTTAAGATATACCAGTACCGCACTACTCTAGATGTTGTGAGTTTTCTTTGGTAATGTAGACACATACAAAAATCTGCCGAGGTTTGGCTTTGTCACAGTGGCAATTTGAGCAGACAGGGAGGTAAGGTCGACTGCCCCGTTAATTAATTTTTATTCAAATTTAAAATTCTCGGACTTGAAGATGGAGACAGTATATTCCTCCAAAACATTAGTGTCTATCTACAAGTCTTCACGGCGTTGCAATCCGTAATATCAACATCGATTATAATATTGTTCATATTTCCTAGTTCATTCTTATTAATATCTTTCTTTTGTTAGATTTTTAATAAATTATTATTTCTCTTGTCTCTCATTGCACGGCATGCAATAATGGCAATTAAAATTATGGAGGCATTAGTATCAAACAATTATTATGTACTTAACAGAAGGAAAGGTAAAAGTATCTGACATTCTTGCAGAGAGGCTATACAGAGAGAAATAAATGGTATTCACCACATACTATGTAGCCCCTAGGCGGAAAGTAAACATTCTAGCCCGAGAAGAATTTGTTATAAACAGTCTTTAGTTATACAACAGTATTTCCCGGTCATGTTATATATACATATATATATATATATATATATATATATATATATATATATATATATATATATATATATGTATAAAGGCCTGTATGCATCCTATTATAACTCTAACAAGAACTGGAGACCGGCAGCTCTCCGCGATCACCACTTGTTAAATAGTAATTTAGTTCAATGACGTAATTTGATTTCTACTACAATACTAAATTTAAATTAAGGACAATGTTGTAAGGATTTTCTCTTTGCCTCCGTTGTGCCCCGATCGGCTAAGGAGTTACCGAAACTCCTGTCCAGTGAGTACCGGAGTCTCATTCGGAGGAGTAAATAAGCCAGAGCGTGGATCTGCCCTTGTAAGACTCCACTCCGTTTCTGTGGCGTGGTGTTTTTAACTGTGTATCCAGTCGGATACTGAGTGTGTGAAAAGTGGATGGTACAGGGAGGGTGAGAAAACCATTTTGTCCTCACTGTTAAGACAGTTTACAGTGTCTGAACACGTCATTATTACTGTAGTGAAACTGTTGGTTCGGAAGAGAATTTAAAATGCAAATAGTGCTTAAATGTTCAAGATAGGTCATTTCCATTAAGATAAATATCTGTAGCAATCTATTTCTCAAAGACATTGTTAATTACGAATCTCCAATTGTAAGGTTGAAGTGTCATGGCGTCACCACAGAAGAGCCCCAATGCTTTCCAGCCTTCGCACACATCAGTCCGGTTCATAACTTTATAATCAATTTATTTTCCAATCTCCTCTGCCCCAGACCTACGAAGTTGCATTTCATCATAAATCATTCCAACCGAATTTTATATACGCGTGTTTCCACCAGGTGAGACCTATGTCCCATCCACTTAATCTTTCTTTATAAGACAATCCAAAGAAAAATATTAGCTTTACCATTCATCTTTTTCGGGCACGGTCATTCAACTAGTACCACAGTCGTGTTGAAAAGATACATTAATTTACCGCGCTGGAAACCCGTCCTCAGGTGATGTCGTTGCATACGTAAGCATCACGTGATTAACATTCTGTGTTCGAACTCTGGCGCCTGGAATTCTGCCAACAGGAAATCGAATTTAGTTTCTCACGCCTTGATTCCATATAGCGGCTAAGCACGAGATGAAGAATGGATAAAAAGAAGGTCTTATCTGAGAAAAAAAATTTTGTCTGTATTTTAGTTATCAGGACTTCGTTGTTACTGTATTAAGCATTCTGCGTAGACTCTACGTGTCGGAAACTTCGAGAGTTAAGTCAGTAAAGTGATCAAGTGCAAATATTAAAAAGTAATCCTGGCCGTGGAATACATAACTTGTATGATCAGAATGAAGCATTAAACTCTAGAAATAATTTGAACCTTTTGAACCTGTGACAGAAGACGTGACAGGGAGAGGGGGAAATAATTGCACAGTAAGAATCTTCATAAATCATCTCTTCGTTAAATATTATTAGAGTTTTCATGTTGGTGTTCTGGATACTGACATCGTGTGTGCTTGTAGGTAAATACTGGTTTCGGATGAATATTCTGCCTCAATCCTTTGGCCTCTAAATAATATCTACCTAAAACAGTGTTCGGCAACTTTTTCCTACCGCGGTACACCCTAATTTATCAATGACTCATAATGGCACACTACAAAATTTCTACTTAATAAGGAGGTACATAACTATACGTGGCCATAACTATGTATCTACATACAAATATTTGGCTTATAAAAATGAGGCTCTTGAAAATATAACATAATATATCGAATATAACTATCGATGATGAACCAGTGTTTTTATTTAGTGTTCTGTCTGACGACAGGTCCATATGAACAGGATCCTTCCATCCTTTTCTCGGACTGGGACCTGTTCATATACGTTCTTGGCAGATGATCCAGAAGTGGTTTGCCATTGCCTTCTTCTGTGTGTGAATGGAGTAATTGTTGGGATGCCACGGAGGAAAACTCCGTGTTGCCTAGACCACGGCCTTGCCCAACACAAGTTATAAATTCGGGCACCGCCGGGAATCGAACCCGAGACCCCAGGATTACAAGGCCAGCGTTCTAACCGCTAGACCACCTTGGCTCTATGTGTGTATTAAGAATTCTAATTACGAAAGATAAGATCCTGCCTTTGTCGAATTGTATCATGCGAATATTAAGTTTCGTATAAAAATTCACTGCGTACGTGAAACTTAGTGGCGGCACACTGGTAAACTTAAGAATGTTGTAACAGGTGGGACATGTACCCTTTATACGGAAAATATAAATACACACAAAGTTTCTCAGTTACAAACCCTGAAACGAGAATAACACTTGGGAGACACAGGCACATTTGGGAAGCTAAATATATAATGTATTGGATTCAACTGGCTCAGGATGAGGTTCACTGGCTAGCTCTTGTCAGTACGATAATGCAGTATTGTGATCTGTAAGAAGCAGTAAATTACTTGATCATCCCAGCGACTATCAAGTTCCATGGAGTTAGCTAAGAGGCGTTTGTCATGGGAGCCGGTTTCAAATCTTACCTACGTCTATCATCAGGTTCAACTTTATATATTTCAAGACTTTGGGATATAAAATCCTGATTAATTTAGTGGCTTTACTTCAGGTCTTACGGTGTGCATACCTTGGATGCCAAATCACTCCTGCCTTTCGAACTTAATGCCGAAAGCGCTGTTTAGTGTTCGATCACCCCTCCCCACGATGTGAAACTGAATTCCTCTCATAGGTTCCATCCAATATACCATTGATTACATTGACAACACTAATCTGAGGCTTCATTGGCGCTCTTAACCTCGATAGGTCCTTGCGGCGGGAAATTCTAGAAGCGGGCAGAAAACCATCCATCAGTTAACATTAATACAGATAACTTGCACAAAATTTCGGACTTTCCACAAAGGAGGGTTTGTATTTGAAAGGTTCACTTTCCGCATTATCACATTTTGAATTCTTATTTCTGTGTAATTTGTTGTGCTTCAGAGGGCGATCAAGAGAATCCTAATTGGTATTTTCTTTTGTTCTTAGATCGTTTTATCTCTTCTAAGTCTGGAAATAGCTTTAGGGGCAATGCCTTCCTTTATTCTTCATACGTGTTGGTTGCAGCTTCAGTGACAATTTTAGGATATCTCTGTTTGTAGTCTTGCAGCCTGTCTCCTAAAGCCCAGTGATGCCCTAAGAATTTTCTCATAACCCACGTTTCACTTCTGAAATATGAGCGAGAATATTTATATCTGTACAACATTTGACCGGCTTAACAATGCCACACGCCAAGTATGTACCCAGAGTGTGTGTGGACGGAAGACTAAGAAAGGTTTGCTTTTACTTAGTTTCTAATTATCCATAGAACCCTGACATCCAAAAATAACACCGGTATTTTTGTTGCAGGAAGAAAATTCTGGGGTTACAAGTAATTAGGCTACTCCAACTTCCTTCCAAAACCATCGCGTGTAGTCGCTGTACCTCATTCGAAAATAAATAATATAAGGACTTGCCATAGTGTCACTAAAAGCATGGAGAAACCGATCCAAAAGACGAGTAAGTATAAAACTAACCATCCTACTCTAGAAAGCAGCTTGAAATTAAACTGTCGTCGCCATTACGGTTGTAGTAAAGAAGTGTTTATTTGAGCCTTAGTACAGAGCACGAAACACTGACACTCAATTTCGTAATGAGATTGTGTTTTAAAGGGAAATGAATGAGTCTGAATTACGGACATGATGTTCACTGTTAAGTAAGTGGTACGTTATAAATTCAATAGTAGATTACAAACAATTTAATTAAAAGCAAGTTGCGTAAGTAAGTTAATTTCAGTAGCTGTTAGATCAGTTAAACTCTATTGATTAAATTAGCATAAAGTGTTTCAATTTATCTTTGTCATTATTCGTTTTATTAACTAGCATTATGGTTCAGGTTTCTGCTCAATTTATTGTTACTCCTTTGTCCAGAATGTGCCGTGCTTTTGTGAAATGATTCATCGTATTCTTTACAGAAATCAGACGCTGGAATATTTTCTGAACCATTTCAGTTCATCTTCGCATAGTATTTCATTGAATACTGCATCTTATTATTAACCAGTTATCTGCTACTAAGTCTCCAAATCAATCACTGGTGCTGCAGAGTTTAGACGAAAATTTGTGTATTCATATTTTGTTTTCCTATGAGCTTCATATTCCATATTCATATTATCATTGTTTAATTAGGCCTTTAAAGCCCGCTGTTAACTGTATATAAGACCTACTTAATGGGGGTGTGGCAAACCCATCTCCTCAATATTAATTTTGTCATGTTAAGGAATATTCTTCTGATTAACTAAAAACTACTGTCATTAAAATTGCTCTATATGCAGTCATGGTCATCTCTGTCTATTCGCCATTCCTCATGTCAATATAGTATTAAACGAATTGTATATATTTTCTAAAATATTAATTTGAAAAGAAATAATAATAAATGTGACAAAATGTGTTTAAGTTGACGCTGCCATGAGAAAACGTCGGTTATATATCTTTATCATTTCTGGGGTTATCTATTTAAGTATCTGTGAGTTTAATTAGTTTTTAAATAGTCAAAACCTAATGAATGAACTTCCATTAAAAGAATATTTGTCTAGGACTAATGTCGTTTCATCCGTGCTGGTTGCCATAGTTACAGTAGCTAAATTCTCTAAAAATGTTTACTCATGTAGTTCTGCTTACGAACGAATCAGTTGAACTTAATTTATCTTAGTTAAGTTCGTTTAAAAATAAAATAAATTGTGAGACAAAAGATTGTTTGACACCTATGACCGATTTATGTAGTATGAGATAATGGCAGTGTGGTTTCATTAACGGTAAGTAAATAAATAATATATTTTCTTGATAGAGGATCAACTCGCCGTTGGTTTAGTATTTGGGTGATCATGTGATAAAATTTCGAGGAATGTAGGACCATGTTAAGACAGTGTAAAATAAGAGTTAGCAATGGACTGGGAAGGACCTCGAATGGATGACAACATGAGTGTGCAGAATGTTAATATGGAAATATATTCGAAACTGGTGGCTTGCAATACCAGGAAGGTGTGAGGACTTGCTGTAGGGTGTAAGAGTGATGGCTATTCATGAAAATATAGTGTCAGTTGAAGTAACTAAATGTACGCATCACAAAACTGAAAAAACTGTGGTTATACGTCGCTCGTAGATTAAAGCAACGCTGCAGCAAACCAAAATAAAAGTATCTGAACCAAATGTGTTCATATGATTTATTTTAATTGATGACCAGGCTTATAAAACGCGTTATCAATATGAAATGAATAGTTATCGAAAAATACATTTATCTCCGACAGGCACAATCAGATTCTTTTTAATAGCTCTTCACATTTGTCCACGTGGCATGGATTTACTGACCAACCGAATCGCCGACTGGCGCAATTACTCCCTCACTTCATCTCTGACAGATTGAGTGACTGTATGCAACTTAAGACCAACATTATTAACAAACACAGTCGTATAAGACACTTTATGAGGTAGATAAATCAAATTTGTGTCTACAGATCCTGGTATATAATCCTCTCACCTCCTGTAATCTGTAATGGTAGTTATATAAGAGGTATTTAAATGAAATTATGTTTCAAATTCGAGCTATATGTCCAAACTTTCGTAATCAGCATCATTTAATTGCCTAGCAACAATTGAGTTTTGCAATTTTCTTAGTTTTCAATTATTATTTTTCAACAACTACTTTAAATTTGCGTTCTTATCTGAGTAATGTTTCATATGTAAACTGATATAAAAATATCTGTCATGCATCGACACAGCGTTTCATAAGAAAAATATATCATAGCTTACTTATAAACAATACAAATCAAAATTAAGGGCGTATTTAGATTTAGATAGTATTTAATTTAGAAGTTTATAATAAAGAAGGATTTCAGTCATTAGATGTGTAAAAATTATTTGTACTATTGGAGACGGCATTTGAAATCCAATAAATTATATTTACCGTTCTAAAAGGTTTTAGATAATATATGTATTCAAATGCAGTAGTTTCTGAATTTACAGATTTCTCATTTCCATCTGCATTCAAAGCAGAGATCAGAGCTTTACCAAGCAAAACGTGGATCTCTCGAAGCTTCATACAAAGGCATGAGTGTGTAGGCGTCGAGCCGTTGTGTTTGTGAGAAGGATGCACAAGCCAAATATAGCTTGTAATTTCTGTGCTAACGAACTAAACCTGGCGGCTATTTCCACAACACGCCAGCCCATTATACCACTTTTTATAACCGTATACACAATGTATAACGGAAATATAACGCAACATTTCTGCCAACTTGTTTTAAAGAAAAGGCACGGGTGTGTACGTCTCATAATATTAATATTTTCCTTTAATCCATACAAAAATATCATCTGTCGTTTGTTGATTATATTCGACTCTTGTTCCTATTGAATGACAAAAATATGCCTGCGAATATGAAAATAACAATACTCATTTTTAAAAATAATATATTGTTATGAACAACATACTGCAGGGAGCAAAGATATTCTTGAGAAGCTTATAGTCGCGTAGCTGTTCAAGAAGCTCATCGTCTGTTACGGAACCTGAAGTTCTCTTATCTTTAAATACTTTATTGTTACAGATACCAGAGCGTTCAGTGGAAATTTATAACCTATGTTATAATCGTTTCTGTCCTCCGATTAAGTTGCGATAATGCCTTAGAATACAAAACCTTTCATAGCTTATGAGGGAGACGCCACTTAAGTGCACATTTTCTTGTTAATGTTAACAATGGATATTAATTCTGCTCTTCCTACATCGTAATTGCTGGAATTCGCATTCCTTGTCTTAATTTTAGAGATTTTTGTTTGTTTGTTGTTGGTGCTTCACGTAAAAATTGGCCATCCATTAAACGTGCATCAGCCTCAAATACTGTGTCCAAAGACTAAGACGTTGGCATATTTAGTAAATATTAGGTTTTGCTTACGCTTGCTTTAAAGTAATTTCTTTTGTAGAATTTATTTACTAGTTTGCATTTTTGTAGATAATTATTTAATATTTATTACGTGTTCCTGTTGTTATTTTGGCTTTATATTTAATTTATTATTTGTGCCGTATCTGTAGTTGGCTACTGGGCTGTTGATGGAACGAAATACAATAAGTAACTAAAACTGAGATTATTATAATTAACTCTACTGTAGACAGCCTTCACCGAAACGTGTAGCGCTATTAGAATGTTCAATGAACCCACTGCTATATGAAGATAAAAGTTCATCATTGTACTTACAAAATTCCTCTGTTGGACAGAATTCTGTGCCACTGCAATCCATTTGACGTCTTCACAAATATCTTCTGTAATGATGTTAATTATCATGCTAAACTTCAAAGTAACGTCACATAACCTGTGTTATAGGACGTGTTCTTTAAACTTTAGGTCTGCTAACCTACGGTACATCATCATATTGAAACCGCGGTGAAATCTTCAAATCAGGCATCTTTAATTTTACTTTAATATGAATATTTCTGCTGTCAACCGTGATACAGAATTCTCTAAAGAAGTTAGTGTTTTTTATGTACACTCCAGTAGTTTATGTCTTGTCGAATCATGATTAACCGTGTCGTCTAGAGTCCGTTAGTTTACAGTATCTCCGAGTTGCACGGTTTATTTCAAGCTGTAATAATAGCAGTAGTTTGTCTACAATGCAATTAGCGAAAGCTCTTACTGGCATTCTGAAGCATTTTTCAGTTTCAAATAATTATACATTCCGCGTATGTACATACTTCTCTTCTTTATTCGAAGCACGTCTGACCTTGTTTACATTAAAAATTCTAGTTGCTTTATTACGACTGTCTGACTTATGCAATTCAGAGGCGAGAATCCTACCATGGGCAGACGTTTAACACAAAACATTCTGATGCCAAAATTAGATTTAGGCATAGTTTTCATATGATACCTCAACATAAATTTCAATTAGTAGCCGTTAAATAATTAAGTAAATGTAGCGAAGTATTTATTGAGAAATAACCGCTGAGTTGGTCAAAAACGTCTTCATTAAACCATTCTTTTGGACGTTATTCTGAATTACTTTAACCCAGCCAACACTCTCACAGTGTGTATCTTTAAGATACATTTTAATATTATCTTTCCATTTATGCCTAAGTTAAAATTAGGTCACTTCAGCTGCTTCCAGGCAGCCATTGACGTAATCGTGTTCCTAAATAAAATATCTAAATATATATGTAGACCACATTAATTTTAAATGACAGTTCCATATAGATATTTCAAAATATACCTAAGTCACTGCAATAATTAAACCATAATATAATAACTCATGTAAACCAGATTTCCAAAGCCAAAAAATATTTGTCAATGCAGCATTCAATTTCATAGTAGTCTTTCTTGCCAAGATCTTTGGAAATTTAAAAGAAATTTTAATAAAATGAGGCTTTAAGAAATATTTGGGTCAATCTTTTCTGAGTACGTAGAAAAAAAAATTGATAGGCAATTTTTGTTTTTTAAAGTAGTTGTCGGCCCCGGTTCAAGTCCAATTTTGGGCCCCCGTC